TTGAAATTCAATACATCGTTCACCGACCCTAGCGTTTCCATAGCGGCGATTACCAGTGGTCTTAACAACACTTGATTCACCAAAGAAATGAATCTTACTGGCTGGATATCTTGATATGGCTTGTAGATATTCGTCTTGCCGTTCCAATGCACCTGGTTTTTCTGCTTCAAATTGACATACCGTCAGTTTCTTCTTACTAAACATGAGGTCTTGTCTGTGTCGCCGATTGATCTGTGACGTTCCTGGAAGGTCATTGGGATGAATCACTCCATCTAACAGTAACCTTTGTTGTATATCAGAAGCGTAGGTGCTCGGTTTTATTCGATTTTGCACTTCAATGTATTCAAGAACGTTCGCACCATTTTTAGGTTCAAGAAAATTAGTTCGTGGTGTACGAACCGACGAATTTATTACATTGTAACTACTGGTAACTTTTTTCACAAATGTATGGCTGGTCTTGACTTCTCTTGTAATAGCGCGTTGGCCTAAACCTTGGTGGTTCAAATCTAATATTCGCTAAGGAACAAGAGAAGGTAGTACTCTCCCATTATCGTATAGGCCGCCATTCGCGTTAACATGCAATTTTATATTTGCTGTGGCTTGAGAGATTATTCCTTTCTACTCACTAGTTTCTTGCAAATTTATTTTCTGGCTGCTTACGATCAAACCAGTTACATGCAGTTATATGTATTTCTCTCGCGCGCGATAATTTCAAGAGGTCTGACAAACTCCGCCCCAGTCAAAAAAGTGTCAAAACAATGTCAAAAATCTTGTTCCGGTGGAAACGGTAGCGAGCTTCGCGCTGTAAACGTATTTCAGTATTTAAACGGTAGATATAGGCATATGTTTATCCCCTAAAAATTTTTCATCTGTTTGGATTTCCTAGCTGAAATTCTAACGATCCGAAAATTATAGGGATCAAAACTTTTTTTTTCGAAAATTTCAGCCAGAAAAAAGGCCCTGGTTAAAAATCCGTTAAAAATGGGCAATTATACCACTTTTTAGATGTTCGAAAATCCTAGGAGAGGCAAGTAGTACATAGGGCTCCACTGGGTACTAACCAATCACAGCGCAGCAGAAATTTTCTCGACCAATCAGCATCGAGTATTTAGCCCATGTGACTTATTGACGTCACAGATGCCCATATTTGGGCATAAAAATCACGTGACCCCACCCAAGAGGTGGATCGGCATGCTTGGCATAGTTTTAAAGGACCGCGTAGAACCTGGGTACAAGTGGGACACTCAAAACGAAGCCCCAGTCCCCTCGCATCCCCGGAAGTCCATAAAAAACACACACACTGTATAGAGGTCCACATCATTTTTTTAATACAAATCTCGACAGTGCCCTAAATGACATCCGGGACGTGTGTGAGGTCCTAGTGACGTCACGCCCATTAGTTTTTACATGAAATACACATTACGAAGAAAAGGTGTTTGCTTCCTGGCTGAAAGAGTCATGAGCAATGGATTAGGCCATGGAATATAATGGTGGAATCCTATCAAGGACCAAGGTTTGGATAAAGGACGACGTAAATCAAAAAGAGTGGCTGAAACGAAAGGAGGGGTGATTAGAGCCAAGAAGCAAACTGAATCAGAAACACTCGACCATTGGCACGCACGAGGCGGTGTCTTACTGTCCAATGATTGACTAGAAAAACAAAAAAAGACTTAATTACAAAATGGGACGTGTGTGACGCCCTCGTGGTGTCACGCCCGGAAAAGATTGTACACAAAACAATTCGATTAAAATCCAGTCTTGATTGAAATTAAAATGTTGTAAGATCCAAAGCGTTTCTGGGAAAAAAATTAACGTTTTAGTTTGAACAAATGGAGTAAGCTGGCCTGTCCTTGGTAATTGATGATACAAAGTTTGTGAGGGATGATGTGTCTGAAAATCATCACCACTTGGATAATCCAATGGGAATCTAATTGAAAAAATTAACGTTTTGGTTTGAACAAATAGAGTAAACTAGACCATCCTTGATGATTGACAATACAAAGTTTGTGAGGGATGGGCCAGCTTCGGAAAATCAGCACACGATTCATAATCCAATGGGAATCTAATTAAATTAAAACAAAAAGCATGAACATCCAGCAGGGGTGGCGCCACCATGCAGACCTCCCCCTGCCGGGTGTTCAGAATTCCCAATCCATACTCTCCATCATGGCACAGCCCCGACAAGGTTCATGGAGTTCGGACACGTGCCGTAAATAAATCCAGCACCGTTTACAAACAAAATACAATTGGCCTGTCAGATTTTGGAGGGACCTTGAATGTTGGTCCATCACCTGGGCAATGGCTGAAAAAGGAAAGGGAGATAAATGGCTCGCATGACAAAATGAGAATCTGAAAAAATAAAAAAACAAATTTTTAAGGACGGGGTGGGTATCCCATGCCTTGCAATATCTCGCACCAATAACAGGGCACATGTAAGTCACTAGCACGACGAAAGTTCAAATAACAACGACAACAGAGTAATTTAATGGGTCTCGGAAATGGAAGGGCGATCCCTGCTCCAGTGTACCACTGCACGATGCTGCCGAGGAAACACCATGCAGCGGAGGTACCATGAACCCGGTGGGTACTGAGAATAGTAAGCGAATCTACGAAAAAAATTAATAATAATGGGCTGAACTCATGAAGACTATGGATGATTACAGAATTGCACGAAATGATAAACACTATGAATATGGTATCGTTGTTGCACGGCAAGGATCCACCCCCATTCGTCTATCGTAGAAATCACATCTGAAACGTGTCATGAAGACTAATTACACATCGAACCGTACTATAATGACAACGCAATTGCACGGGTCTGATCCAACTTCCATACTGGTTTAACGTATAATGAAAGCCTACAAAGAGGTGGAAAGTCGAATCAAGACAGGAATACTGGTACGAAAGAAACCAGCTTGCAAAGGGCGGATCCATTGCGTATGATGACGCAACAAACAATGCGTGGCTGTAAAAAAAAATTAATCTAAATTAATCCTCCTCTAAAAAACCTAACAGGGCTAAATCCGGTTCATCCACAGGACCTTGGCGCCGGAGAAACGAATTAATGCGAAACGTCATCCGCAATGGAAAATCATCCCAATCCCGATGGTTGGGGTCCCCACTCTGCACATACTCCACAATATCATCTTCGGTGAGGGACCCCTCCCTATGACCAGCAATCACGTCATCTAAGGTGAAGCCCTCCATCATGCGTTCGCAATGATTACAGACCCCGCCAGGGGTGGGATGGGCGACCCACTGATAAATATGACACACCGGCTGATTCTCCACATGGTCCCAAGAATCTAATAAAAAAATGAAAATCAACACGAACAGGCTGGGACCCAGAACCGCGCGGCCCAATTGAGTCGAGCTCGTCGAGGGCAAAGACACAGGTGGACAGGCCATAGTACGGTGCGTAGAAACTCAAACCCCTTGAACACGTCTATGAATCAAAAAAGGGACATGAGGAAAAAAAAGGGACCCACACCCGAAAAAAAGGAAAACCATGAGACTCACCAGCCATGCGTCGACGATGGACCTCATGATCTAGCTTCCGGGCAACAGGGTGGTCCCAAGGCAGTGTCTTGGCCCAATCACGGAGTTCTTCATGGGTGCATCTTCTAAACAGGGCGCGCAGACATTCCTTGCCTACCGGCAGGCGGTCCAACATCTTCAGGGCTTCGAACAACATGGCGATCGGCATAGTGTACAACACCATCGACTGCAGCGAACTCACCATCTTGAACAGGTAGACTGAACAAACTGGAATGAGCCTACACTAGGCGCGCAACGTGATTTAGAGACTCCACGAGCGAATCGGATTGGTGGAGAGCCATCACATGGGGTGTCTAGGAACGAGAGGAGACTCTAGGGGGTACCCCCCATGGGTACACCTTATCCTCCCTGGACCAGGGGGTCTAGCGCGAGTGTGTGATTGGTGGATACCGGAGGATAAACAAGGGAACACCACGGTGAGAGTTCAGTCGCCTCATTTTGCACTGTCAAGATGGACTGCCGAGGGTTAGTCGATCCCAAGAACAAACCGTTTGGCCGCGTGCTCCCGTTAGAGGTGCAGATTAAGATCATGTTTTGGGTCCATTGCTTCTACACTATGGATAAGCGAAAGAAGGTGGTACAGGAGTTCAAGAGTCTACCCAAATGCGACCTCACAGGGTTTCCTCAACATCTGGGCGAAGATCGTTGGTGGAACCAAGTGGTGGTGCGATTGCACGCCCCCAGAAAAAATGGCTGCCACCATTGCCACCGTCTCATGGATCACCGACTCTCGGTGAGTGAAAAATATGGTTTGACTCTTTGTCTTCTCATGACCTTGACTTGAGCATTTTTTTTTTCTTCTGGGTTTCAGATTGGCATGATGGTGGAGATGGCGCGTCAACCCCCCAATCTCGACCACCTATTGAACGAGGGCATTGCCTTTATCATCGACACCTTCAAGGATCAGATCCCCCAGTGTCCCCTTGGACGACGCCCCGTCATGATTGGCAGGAGGAAACCCGCTTATGATACAGTGGACAAAGTTATGAGGAGACTGGACTTGATTATGAATGTGATGTCAGCTATGAATTTTGTGGTCATCGATATCCATTAAAAATAAAACAAATGATGTAGTTTAGAACCGTGTCTTTTTTATTGGTGTTTAAATAAAGCTTCCAGGGTGGGATAGATCGCCTGGTCTTCTTCCCGCGTGCCTACAATGGCGGTCTTGTCTTGGAGGGTGGGTAGGGCAATGTAGTCCTCGGTCATGCCTTCACATGGTTGATATTGACCTAGGGTGGGATTCCACCATGACCATTCTTCTCGATCCACATCAAAGACATAGAGGGGTTTGCCTAAGAGCTGGGCCATGACCACACTCCAGCCTGTCCCGCCCAAGAGATGCTTGCGCATCCCGTCAAAATAGCCCACGGCCAAGACTAAAACAACCCGTGGTCGAGAATGAGGAAGAGACTGAACCCACAGAGGAGGGGGGAGGTAGCATGGTGGCGCCACCCTCTCCCCTGTTTGTTTACGCCGATTTTGAAGCCATGCAGAATGCAGAAGGTGTGTTTGTAGCCAATTTGTTGTGTTATTCGTCTAGTGAAGAAACGACTATTCATGTGTTGGACGGAGAGGACTGTGCCCTCCAATTTTTGCATGATTTGGATGATCTCGCGACTCTCCCGGACACAGAGGGCGAGCGGACCATTCTCGTGGTGTTTCATAATTTGAAAGGCTTCGACGGTATGTTTATTCTCCATGAGCTGTACCAGCAACAACGCGAAGTGGTGGATCAATTGACGGTGGGCGCTAAAGTGTTGTCCTTCAGGAGTGGACCCCTCAAATTCATTGACTCGTTATGTTTCTTACCCATGCCGCTGGCCTCCTTTCCCAGCACCTTCAATTTGACCGAATTAAAGAAGGGCTTCTTTCCTCATTTGTTCAATACCCCGGATCATCAACAGTATGTGGGTCGGATCCCTGATTTGGAATTTTACGATCCCGAGGGTATGATGGCCAAAAAGAAAGACGAACTGACGCGTTGGCATGCGGATCAAGTCCGTCGTAATGTGCGTTTTGATTTCCAGCAAGACATGATCGACTATTGTAAATCAGATGTGGCGCTGTTGAAAGCGGGATGTGAAGCTTTCCAACAAGAATTTGAACAGCAGGCTGGCTTCAATCCCATGGCTAAATGCATCACCATCGCCAGTGCCTGCAATCTCTATTGGCGCAAGCACCATTTGACCCCTGATACCATTGCCGTCGAACCGCTCAGGGGCTGGCGAGGGGCTCAAGTCAATCAATCGCTCAAGGCCCTACAATGGCTGTACTACCAAGAACATCTCCTTCCCAAGGAGGGAGCCAGTGCCGATCGCATTCGTCATGTCCGGAATGGGGGTGAGCAGTTTGTCCGGACCCTTGTGAACAGTTATTTCGTCGATGGCTATGATCCTCTGACCCGAACCGTCTACGAATTTCATGGGTGTCTCTATCATGGCTGTCCCACTTGTTATCCCATGAGAAACGCCAAACATTATGCAGTGCCAGACAGAAGCGTGGAGGAACTGTATCAAGCCACACTCTCTAAACGCCTGGCTCTGCTCCGAGCAGGTTACATAGTGATCGAAATGTGGGAATGTGACTGGGACCGACTGGTTGATGACGAGCCCGCTGTCTCTCAGTTTCTGGCTTCTTTTGATCTGGTGGCTCCCTTGGAACCCCGCGAGGCCTTTTTTGGGGGTCGCACCGGCGCGGTGGCTCTGCATGCCGTGGCTGAGGAGGGGGAGGAGATACGCTATGTGGATGTCACGTCCCTGTACCCGTGGGTGAACAAGAACTGCCCTTACCCCATTGGTCATCCCAAGATCATCACCCAACCTGCTGACCAGTCCCTGGCGTCCTATTTTGGTCTGGCCACGGTGGACATTCTGCCTCCGACTGGTCTATTCCACCCCGTCTTGCCTGTACGCTGTGGCCAAAAACTCACGTTTCCTCTCTGTCGTGCCTGTGTCCAGACAGAGCAAGCCCAACCTATGTTGACTAGAACCCAGTATTGCCCTCATTCGGATGCGGATCGTACACTACGTGGGACCTGGTGCACGCCTGAGCTGGTTAAAGCTGTGGAAAAAGGGTACACCCTCGTCAAGATCCATGAAGTCTGGCATTTTCCCCCCGAGCAACGCCAAACGGGTCTTTTCGCCAATTACGTGAACACTTGGTTGAAGTTGAAACAAGAATCCGCTGGGTGGCCCAGTTGGTGTCAGACCCTCGAACAAAAACGCGAATACATTCATCGCTACCAGGAACGGGAGGGGATCCGACTGGATATTGCCAGCATTGCCAAAAATCCCGGTCGCAAGGCCACAGCCAAGCTCATGCTGAATAGTTTCTGGGGCAAGTTTGGCGAGCGGGTCAACAAACCCACCACCGTCACCGTTCAAAACCCCGCCCATTTGTTCAGCCTCGTTTCTGATGCGGCTCTTGATCTCAGTACGCTCCGCCTCTGTACCGATGATATTTTGGAAGCCGTCTATACCAGTGTCCAAGACAATGCCGTCAAAGGCACCAAGACCAATATCTTTGTGGCGGCGTTCACCACGTGTCATGCCCGATTGAAACTCTACGAGTCCCTGGACATCTTGCAACAGCAAGTCCTCTACTACGATACTGACAGTGTAGTGTACAAGTGGCGTCCCGGTCAACCCAGTATTGCCACTGGGGATTTTCTAGGGGACATGACGGATGAATTGGACGGGGATGTCGTCACTGAGTTTGTTTCGGGGGGCGCCAAGAATTATGGGTACACGACCCGTGGAGGTAAAGTGGTGTGTAAGGTCCGCGGTTTCACGCTGAACGTCCGGGGGTCGGCCATCCTCAATTTTCATACCATGAAAGAGAACATTCTCTCGGAATTAAACTCGCCTCAGGACACTCGCCGAAATTTGAACATTGTCAACCCCTATCATTTCACACGGGATTTGGAAAAGAAACACATTCAAGTGGTTCCGCGCGTGAAGCA